TTGCTCAATAGTTCCATGTTTTTCCCTAAAACCAAACTGGTGGGACGGTATTAAGTTTTGAACGTCAAGGAACGGTTTCAGCTTTAAAAGCAGTGCTCTTTCAAAGAGTTTAGAGAGGCATGGCAGTAAGCTTATTGGCCTGTATGAAGAGGCAAGCGTGGGGTCTTTACTTGATTTATGAATCATAATAATCATGGATGTTTTCCACTCTGTTGGATAAAAGCCAAATTTAATTATGGCATTAAAAAGTCTTGTGATAAAATGTATGGCCAAAAGGGGTAAGTTTTTTATCATGATGGGTGAGATATTATCATATCCCGGTGCTTTTTTGCAATCTAACTTATTTGTGATTATTTGGACAAGATCATTGGCCGTGATATTCATGTCAATAGATGGTATATGTGGATCTTGAGTGGGAAAGTCATATTGTCCTGTTGCAGGATTTGGTTGGAACACCTCTTTTAGGTAATCAGCAAAAACGTTAGATTTTTCTTCATCACTTCGCGCCCAGTTTCCAAGAGAGTTTCTTATTGGAGAATTGGAGTCTATGGGAGGATTTATACCTTTGCTAGCATTCCACAAAGATGAATAGTTTTTGCCATTTGGACATAGGTTTTGAATATAATTATATTGTCTGACTTTGACTTCCTTGCTTAATGCAGATCTAAGTCTCCTTTGGGCTTCCTGAAATAAGTTTTGCGCTAAAGGGGACCTAGATTTTTGCCATTCACGCCTTAATCTACGTTTTTGTAAAACTAAATTCTCTATGTCACTATTTGTAAGAACTCTATTGAATCTGTAAATTTTATTGTCTTTAAAGGTGGAGTTTTCTGCTGCTGAAATCAGAATTGAGTTTAAAACTGAGGTTGCGTCCTCAATATGAGACTTACACTTTATCTTGTAATTTGTGTGTATGTGTGAGTTAATATACTTTTTATATGTAACTGGAGAATGGTCAGAAGACAAATCGCAGCTTGTGTTTGTTGAAATAAAATTTTTGCTTATGCCTTTGGTCACGACGAATTCTATTAGGTTTCGTATTTTATTGATATCAGCAGGTCAATATGTTGGCTGCCCAGGAGAGATTACGTCTAGTGCATTTTTTCTATTTAGAATAAAATTGTAGAGCTGTTGGTCTTTTGGATTACAGAGTCGTGAACCCCAGAGTTAAGAAGTAATACGTAAATTGGGTCTCAGTAATGTTGAAGCGAGGAGGGCAGTAAACTGCCGATAAAGTTCAATTTTTTCCTATGTGCTTAAGGCACGTCAATCGCGGCTTGCATGTAATTATGAGCATATGTACATAAGAAATTGTGTTTTAGACACCTTCGTATCAAAATACCTGTACCACCATGTGCTTTTCCATCTGGGTGATTGGTTTTATAGAATTTTTTGTTTGTTAGATGTGTTTCTGAGCAAAGCACACTTTTTCGGGTCATGAAATATGTGAGTTGAAGTTTATGTTGGCTAAAGCCGTTTGCATTCCGTGTACAAATTTTTAAAGTACTCATTATTTAGACAAAAACATTTGCATTAATTGGTTTTGCATTTTAACTATCTCGTTAAGCATAGTTTGCATGATTGACATGAACTGAGTTAAGCTCTAGGTAAGAGTGGATATCATTATTTCCAAACTATTACTTTGAACTGGAGGGGCTTGTTGCTTGTCAGATTTAACGACATTAGCATATGAAACACCTAGTTGAGGTACTTCAACTAATTTGATGGGGTTGCTTTTTGTAGGATTACGCAATGCTTCTTTCTGCAGAGCTAACCTGTGCTTCAGTTCTTTATAAATAGGACATCCTCTGTAGTTTGCAGTGTGATTTCCACTGCAGTTGCTACATTTTTTGGAGTTGGTATCCTTTAATGCTTTTTTATCGCATTCGGAACTATGGTGAAGCTCGCCACAAGCTACGCACACTGTACGAAGAGTGCAATATGACTTAGTATGGCCATACTCTTGGCAGTTTGTGCATTGCACCGGACCATTTCTTTTGTGGGGCTCCTCAACGCTAATTCTGCGGTGAAGTAAATACTGTAGGTTGTAGATGGGATGGCTCTCATTTTTTTTAAGCTTAGAAGCTTCCGGGTGAAGTTCGACCGGGTGAAGTTCAAGTACATTGGATTTGCGAGATGGATTTTTTCATGTGACTGATATGATGGGTAAAAACGCGAAGTTTAAGATTAATGACGAAGCAGTAGCAGCATTTCAACAATTAAAAGTG